TTTTTGTTTGCTTGCATAGATGTGGTGGTGTACACACTGGAGGTGCTGCTCCTGAGCTCAGGGAGCCTTACGGGACTCTCCTCGTGTCGCGTGTCACCTGCCGCAGCTGGCTCCACTGCCCCTTTCAGCTGGCCGCCGGCAACCAGAACCGATTGTGCTATGATTTATTTAGTTGTTGCTTATTGATCGACTATTAAAAGGCTTCCAGTCTTGTTTCAATAGGACAAACCTGTAACAGCATTCTTGTATATGCCCCTTTTGCTCATGTACAAGTATTTCTCTGGGGCAGATACTTAGAAACAGAATTGGTGGGTCATAGAGTCTACACATCTTAAATTCTAATAGTAACTGCTAAAATGTTCTTCAAAGTGCCTTTCTGATTTAATTTCATGCCAGCAGTATGTGTGTCCATTTCTCCAGACCATCTCCAAGTTTTACATTTTAACCGATCTGGTGGGTGAAAAATAATATCTTGTTTTAGTTAGTATTTTTCTGAATTACCAGGATGGCTAAAGTCTGTGTGTTTCCTATCCATTTATATTTCCTTCTCTGCATTACTTGTCCAAATTTTTTGCCCATTTTTTTTTTAGGGTATGTTATCTTTTCCTTATTGATTTTTTAGAAGTTCTTTATGCATTTTGTATACTTTATGTGTATTGCAAATATTTTCTGTATTGTGATTCTTGTCATTTAATTGTATTGTGTCTTTGGAGAAATCTTAAATTTTGATACAGTCAAATCGATCTGTTTAATTGTATGTCTTTTTTGCAATTTTATTTAAGAAAGCCTTCCCTGCGTTGAGGTCATATGCATTTTTCCTGTATTTCTTCTCTAACATTTATCATTTACATATATGTGTGTGTGTATGTGTATATGTATATATGCCTTTTTACCACATACAAAAAATAAATTCCATATGCATGCATGAATCTTAGGATCTAACTTTAGTTCCCCCTCATCCCCCCAACAATGGTTAAATAATTGTCCCAATACTACTTGTGGAATTCTATATCATTTCCCCACTAATTTAAAATTGCTACCTTTGTCCGATACTAAATCCCAATAGGGTCCTTTCTGGTCCACTGATCTATTTGTCTGCTCCTGAGCTTGATAATATGCTTTGCTAACTGGCAGGACAAATCTCACCCTCTTTGTTGTTTTTGCAAAATTACCTTGGTCATTCTTGCATATTAGTCCTACCAATGAATTTTAAAATAAGCCTTTCAAGTTTCGGGAAAATTTCTGCTGGGATTTTATTGGGGTTACATTGAGTTTATGGATAACTTTTTTTTTCTTCTTTTTTTTTTTTTTTTAGACGGAATCTCGCGCTGTTGCCCAGGCTGGAGTGTAGTGGCATGATCTCAGCTCATTGCAACCTCCACTTCCTTGGTTCAAGCGATTCTCCTGCCTCAGCCTCCCAAGTAGCTGGGACTACAGGCATGCACCACTATGCCTGGCTAATAGTTGTATTCTTAGTAGAGACAGGGTTTCACCATGCTGGCCATGCTGGTCTTGAACTCCTGGCCTCGTGATCCACTTGCTTCAGCCTCCCAAAGTGCTGGGATTACAGGTGTGAGTCACTGTACCTGGCCTGAGTTTATGAATAAATTTAAGGAAAACTGACATCTTTATCATATAGAGCCTTCCTACCACGGCACATTGCTCTACTCTCAATTCAGGTCATCTTTTACATCTTTCAGGACAGTTTTATGGTTTTCTCTGGTTAGAGCCTGGCATATTTCTTGTTGAATTCATTCCTAGGTATATTATAGGTTTTGCTGTTAACTGTGAGTAGATTGCCCTCTGCTCTTGTTTGTTTGGCCCTTGTTTTTTCATATCCCATTTCAACCTGTTTACTAATCACTGTGCTTGATTCACAGACACACAAAGTAAATGTTCTTCCTCCCTGGGCACAAACATTTGAGCACAGCCAAACACACAGAAGCAGCATAATTGACTGAAAACAAATTAGAATCTTTTCAAATTACACTTTAATTAAACAAGCAAAGTGTGCATACATTCTCCTTTTTAAAAGTAGGACAATATGAATATAACTGTAGTCCCCTTTGACCACCCTCTGGAGTCCTCATTTCCCACCCCCTCCACAGTTTTATGTGTCTCCATCCACAGTAACACATAGTCCTGATATATTTTCAATGAGTCATATCACATTATAGGGATTTTACTATAAGCTGCAGGGTTTTTTTCACTCAGTCTTACATTTTTACAATATACTCCTATTGCTACACATAGCTTTCGCCTTTAATAGCTATATTGTATTCATTCCCATGAATGTACCACATTTTATCTTCTGTAAGCTCCATGGACATTTAATTGCTTCTTTTTGTTTCCTCCATCATGAGCAGTGCTGCAGAAACCACATTGCATGTTCCTCTGTGGTGGGATATCTCTGGGAGTGATAGAGAAATGGAATGCTGGGTCTCAAGATGTCCACAGTTTTAGTTTTAGCAGACACTACCAGTGTCCTCCATGATTTCTGTGCCATTTAAGCTTCCAGCCAGAGGGTATGAGAGGGCTATAATCCCCACAGCCATAGGCGGTTGTTTTAAATATTTGCCAATCTCATGGGTGAAAAATTGAATCCTTTTTAAAATTTGTATTTTCCTGTTTGCTTATGAGATTTTCATATGTATATTGAGCATTTGTATTTTCTCTTTTCTGAACTGCCTGTTATTTTTTCTCATTTTAAACATTAGGTTGTCTTTATCCCACTGGCTTGTGGAGTTTTCTAATGTAATCTGGATATTGATCTTTTGTAGATATGTGACAAATATTTTCTTCCAGCTTGTCATTGCCTTTAACTCTTTGTAGAATCTTTTGTTAGAATTCTATCAGTTTTGACATAATCCAATTTGTCAATCTTTTCCTTTGATCTTTTTTTATACGGATACCATGTTTAGTCCTTCCCTACTCCTAATATTTAAATATATTATTTCTTCTTTTCTAATACTTTAATAATTTTGTTTTTATTTGGTTCTTTAATGCATCTGGAGTATATTTTGATGATCATATTGATGTATGCTCTAACCTTTCTCCAAACGGGCAGCCAATTATCGCAGTGTGGGGGGTTGACTAGTTCTTCCTTTCCCCTGTGATCCGAGGTAAAACTCCCTCATATTCTGAGTCAGGTGGGTCTAAAGCTCCTGTTTTTCCCAACAATCCATGTATTCCTTTCAGTACAAGACTATTTTCTTTGCTATTCCACCTCTTGGTATCTGTGAAGTAAAATGCCATGTTTCGTTGTGCTTCCTTCTCAGCTCTCTTAGCTAACTAGTACCACACACTAATTTCCTTCTCAGCTTTCTTAGCTAACTGGAACCACACACTAACTTCTCCACATGAATTGTAAAGCCAGCTTGTCAAGTTGGAGAAATTGACATCAATATAATACCGAGCCTTTGAATTCATGAATACAGTAGAGCTCTACATTTATTCTTAATAGCTTGTATGTCCTTCACTCATGCACTGTTGTTCTCCCCATAAAGAACTTGCCCATTTCCTAATGGGTTTATTCCTATAGTTTTTATTATTGTTGTGAATTAGTTCTTTCCAACCCCCTTTTTTGTTTTGCTTTTGCTTGCTACATTTCTTTTTTATCTACTTACTAATCACTCTACTGCATTCACAGGCACACACAAAGTAAATATTCCTCCTCCCTGGGCACAAACACTCAAGCACATCCAAACACACGGAGCCCACATAATTGCCTGAAAATGAATAGGAATTTTTTTGAAAATTGCAGTCAAATGACACAAGCAAAACATGAATACATTCCGCTTTTTTAAAAAAGAGAACATAGCAGATGAAGCTAGAGTCCCTTTGGGCCACCCATTGCCACCCTATTCCCTTCCTCCTCTCCAGAGGTAACCACAGTAATGGGCTCAATGTGTACTCTTCTAGACGTTTCTAAAAACATATATAGGTACCCAAAGGAAATATATGGTATAGTTGTCTCAAATAATGAAAATGTTATCTTTCTAGTTTTCATTAATATTCAACTTTTGTATTGACCTGAATTTTATTATGGTTGCAGAATGGAATGTCAGCGTTATCATCTGTCACAATGTGAAAGTAAAGATATAAAAGTTGGGAGGTAGCAGTGAAGGGAAGAGGGTAGGAAGGCTGACAGGGACAATAGTGGGGAGGCAAGAGCTTCTGTGGGCATGTGGTGGAATAAGGAACGAAGGGGCAAGTAAGTTTCTTGAAATTAAAAAGATAACCAACAGAGGTACTTAAAGACTGCACGGGAGGAGTAGGGATAGAGGGGATTAGTTTCCAAGTGACCCAATGCCTAATCCACTGGGACATCAGTGGATCTTATGAACTAGAAATGGGGTGTAGCAGATGCTGTCTAGAGGGCTCCCTGACCCAGTTTTGACTTGGGACTTGTAAGGGGATATCTTCAGGCAGCTTCAGGAAAACACTTTCCTCCCTAATTAAAGAGATGCACGTGGGGCCAGGCACAGTGGCTCTCGCCTGTAGTCCCAGCACTTTGGGAGGTTGAGGCAGGTGGATTGCTTGAGCCTAGGAGTTCGAGACCAGCCTGGGCAACATTGTGAAACCCCATCTCTACAAAAATACAAAAGTTAGCCAGGCGTGGTGGCGTGCACCTGTGGTCCCAGCTGCTCAAGAGGCTGAAGTGAGGAGATTGCTTTAGCTTGGGAGGTTGAGGCTTCAGTGAGCTATTATCGTGCCATTCTACTCCAGCCCAGGGGGCAGAGTGAGACCGTGTCTCAAAAAAAAAAGAAAAGAGAAAAGAAAAAGAGAGATGCACTTGGAGAAGTTTCTCGGCTGCCCCCTTTCTTTCTGCCTAGGTGCTGTTTAGTGGAAATATGATGCCTGGAGCCCTGACAGCTATCTTGTGACCAGGAGGAGAAGGCCAGGAGACTTGTGGTTCTCTGCTCACTCAGATCTCAGATACCTAGAACCACTGACTTTTGAACTTTTCATTACTTGAAATAAATGTCCTTGTTGTTTAGCCACTCTTAGGTGATCTGTTACATTCTGATGAAAGCATTCTTCCTAATACAAGCAATCTGAGAGCTTAGAGCTAGGAGACAACATCCAGGAGCAGAGATCACACACTCTTGGGTAAGAGTTTGGGGTTGGGAGAGGGCCCATCCCAAACTTGCTGCTCTTCATCAAAAGCCCTTCTATTCTCTTGGATTAAAAAAAAAAAAAATTCTAATAAGCCAGGCACATTGTGCACCTGTATTCCCACCTACCTGGGGGTCTGAGGCAGGAGGATCACCTGAGCCCAGGAGCTCAAGGCTACAGTGCGCTATGATCATGCCTGTGAATAGCCACTGCATTCCAGCTTGGTCAACAGAACCAGGCACTGTCCCTAAAAACAATTCTGATAAAAAGTGTCAAGATGTGAACAGTGGTTGTCTCTGGGTACCTTTGGGTACTTTGCAATTTTCTAAGATGTTGTCAAATGTTCTTAGGAGCTGACACATAAGAGAAGTTAAGTTTTGACTCCAGAAAAGGGAAGGCCCACAGCTGGTGAGACTGCCCGGGTAAAATCCTAGATGGATTCAAGGGGCGTTAGAGCTAGGGATGAGGAGCAAGCTGTGGGTGGATCTCACCTCACCTGATCCTGGAGGGCCAGCAACCTTCCTGGGTTCTTAAGGGAACTGCAGGGAATCCAGCTGATTTGGGACACACAGGGTTGGGGGCATAGGTGTGGCAGGAGGAAGAGCAGTGACAGATCAGGCTGGCCACACGTGCAGTGCTGCTGTGTCATGACAAGGAGTGAGCTTCTATCCAAGGGTAATGAGGAACCAGTGGCTGTTTTTTTTTGTTTTTTTTTTTTATGAGACGGAGTCTCACTCTGTTGCCCAGACTAGAGTACAGTGGTGTGATCTCGGCTCACTGCAATGTCTGTCTGCCTCCCAGGTCAGCGATTCTCCTGCCTCAGCCTCCCAAGTAGATGGGATTACAGGCATGTGCCACCATGCCCAGTTAATTTTTATGTTTTTAGTAGAGACAGGATTTCACCATGTTGGCCAGGATGGTATCAAACTCCTGACCTCAGTGATCTGCCCGTCTTGGCCTCTCAAAGTGCTGGGATTACAGGCGTGAGTCACCATGCCTGGCCGTGGCTGTGCTTAAGCAGGGAGACAGGTGTGATCACTTTCATTTAGTTAAGTTTCTTTTCTTTGTCAGTGAAAGAAGCTCAACTCAAACCAGCTCAGGCACAGAGGGAACTTAATTGGCTTCTATAAGCAAACCACAGGCCAAGCTAGGTTCAGTTGACCTTCCGGTCCCCCGGGGCCAGGGACCCTACCGGCAGCCTGCCCCTCTCCTATCTCCATGTCTCCACGTCTCTCTGCCTGCCAGCTCCCTCTCTCAGGCATGCCTCTTCCACACACTGGCGTTCGTGACTACCAATGTTTCACACCTCTCAGGTTCATGACCACAAAGAGATCGAGGTAGGAGTGCAAGAACTTGGTTAAGCATCAGGGCTACTTGCTTACTCACTGTTTTGTCTAATTTCTCTGTCTTCCAGGTCCTTGCCTGGGAAATGGGGATAACAACAGCACCAGCCTAATGTGAGGATCAAAGGAGATGATGTCCATCAAGTATTTAGCTCGGGGATGGACACTAAGTGCTCCATACATGTTAGGAACTCTCTCTGTTCCCAAGTCCAGAAATCTGGAGAAAGGTTTCCATTGGCCCAGCTGAGTTGGGGTTCACCTCTGGCAAATCAATGATGGCCATTAAAGTGGGCTGTGCAATAAATAAGAAGGTGAATTTCAAAAAAAATAGGTTGGGGTGCAGAATGTTTTCCAAGAAGGATTAGCACAGTTCTAGGTAAAGAACAGAGGTCATCCCTCTGGCTGCCAGCAGAAAAGGGTTTGATCAGGCCCCAACAGCCTGGAGGCAGGAAAGTACCTAAGAGGCACCACAGTTGTCCAGGTGAGAAATAACGCAGGCCTGAGCTAAGCAACAGTGCAGATGGAGAGAAGGCGTAGCCAAGAGAAGTTTTGGAGGTAGAAATAGGGGGCATGGTGCCAAGTGCACAGGAGAAATGAGACAGAATGAAAGGTTGAAGGTGGCCTCAGGTGCTAGCCCAGAAACCTACAAACAGCCTCTCCAAAATGTCACTTCATTACTCAGGTTCACTTTTCCCACCACCACCGCCACTCCATTCTGCTCAGTAGCACAAACTTAGTTGAAGGTAAGCACAGCCACATCTGGACATTTCCAAAGACTCTCTTAAGTAGATTCTTGGTCCACTTCCAGCTCCTCTGCTTCCCACTGCTCCTTCTCCTTGTGGGTAGTCAGTGTTCTGGGAGCTTCTATTCTGACCTGGCACCAGGGGCATGCAAGTGATTCAGGTCTGCCAGCAACTATCCACTGCCATCCACCTAGCCACAGAATCCCTGCTGAATCTTTGTCCTGACCATGAGGCACATACAAGTCCACCGGCTACACTCACCCTCTTCTCTACACCCTCACCATCACCACAGTGTTACAAAGACAAACAGGACCCTGGAGGACCCCTCTAGGCCACCTTCTCCCACTAGGGCTCCTCAGCCTCTCCAGCCCATGCCAGGAGCTTGTGGTTTCCCAGGCAACACCTGAGGAGCCAGGTAACGGTCCCTTCTGCTCTGGGATACCTCAAATTTATTCTGGGAGCTCTAGTATCTACTGTATAGCTACATCTCTATGTGATTCCTTTCTTCCCACTAGCTGGTCTAACTTTTATTTCCTTTTAGGCAGAAAAACAGCTTCAGGCAGAAAAACAGCTTCTGCATTCTTCCCTGTTTACCATTCTGGCATCAATTTCAAGTGCTCAGTCCCTCAAGCTCTTTCCTCTCTACAAAAGCCCAGCTACTGCAACCAACTATCCTGTCTGTCTCTGCTTAAGTTTCAAGAGACTCTTTGAAACTACTGACCATTGTTCTCACTGCATTCATGCTGCAGCAACCCAAATCCTGCAAAGCTCTGACTGAATCAGGAAAGAGTGACCTTGGTAGCTAGTCTCCAAAGACAGCCACCACCAATACTTGCCTTCCTATAATATATATCATACTCCTTGTATCAGGAAGAGAAGTGTAATTCCCTCCCCATGAATCTAGGCTGGCCTTAGTGACTTTCTTGGCCAATAGAATATAGCAGAAGGGGCCGGGCGCGGTGGCTCAAGCCTGTAATCCCAGCACTTTAGGAGGCCGAGGCGGGCGGATCACGAGGTCAGGAGATCAAGACCATCCTGGCTAACATGGTGAAACCCCATCTCTACTAAAAAAACAAAAAATTAGCCAGGCGTGGTGGCGGGCGCCTGTAGTCCCAGCTACTCGGGAGGCTGAGGCAGGAGAATGGCGTAAACCCAGGAGGCGGAGCTTGCAGTGAGCTGAGATTGCGCCACTGCACTACAGCCTGGGCGACAGAGCGAGACTCCGTCTCAAAAAAAAAAAAAAAAAGAATATAGCAGAAGGGACATTCTGGGATTTGCAAGACTAGGTTGCGGGAAGCCTTGTAGCCTCTGCCAGGCCTCCTGCAATGCTTGGCCTTGGAACACTCCCTCTTGCAAACCAGTTGCCATTCTATGAGAAGTGCAACTCCTGTGGTGAATCCACACGTGGGCACTCCAGTCAACGGCCTCAGCAAACCCCCAGCCGACTGTCAACTATGTGAATGAGCCTTCAGATGACTCCAGCCCCAGCTGCCACCTGACTGCAACTGCATGAAACATTTAAGCAAGAACCACCTTGCTGAGCCCTATCAACCCCCAGAACCATGAGGAATAATAAACTGTGTTTTTGTTGTTGTTGTTTTTGAGACAGGGTCTTTCTGTGTCATCTAGGCTGGAGTACAGTGGCACAATCATGGCTCAATGTAGCCTTTGATCTCCTAAGCTCAGGCAATCCTCCCACCTCAGCCTCCCAAGTAGCTGTAACTGTAGGCATGCACCACTACACCTGCCTAATTTTTGTATTTTTGATAGAGATAGGGCTTCCCCATGTTGTCCAGGCTGGTCTCAAACTGCTGAGCTCAAGTAATTTGCCTGCCTCAGCCTCCCAAAGTGCTGGGATTACAGGTGTGAGCCACTGCACCCAGCCAATGAATAGTGTTTGTAAGCCACTAATGTTTGGGGTAATTTGTTGTGCACCAACACAGTGATGGGCAAGGAAGTGTGCTGAGGGGTGGGGAAGCACATCAAATAATAAATAAAATATGATCCTACTACACAGCATTTAAATGGACCATCATAGTACAGTATGGTAAGTGCAGTAATGAAACATAAATATGCACAGAACTTTCCAGAAGAGGTGACCATTGGTCTGACTTCTTAGAGATGAGCAGGAATGAGCAAAGTAGAAGGAATTGGAAAGACCTTTCAAACAGAGGGAACAGCACAAGCATAGCCCTGGGAATGAGAAGCAGCAAGAGTGAGCCGGAGGGTATTTGGTGTTCCTGGACTATAACAAAAGAAGGAGAGGATGGGAAGAGTAAAATGAAGTGGACAGAGACCAGACCCTGCAGGGCCTTGGATGCCCCCATATCAAGGAGTTCGGACACTGTCCTGCAGTCATTGGGCACTGTTGAAAGTTTTTACACTAGAGTGATGTGTTTGGATTTGTTATTTGGGAAGACCACTGAGATGGTCAGTGTGAAGACTATATTTGGAAGGAGATGGTCTCTAGGCAGCGAGACCAATTTAGAAAATAAAGTCAGAAATGCATAAGGATTGTTGGCTGCTGGTGTGAGAGAGGGTAGAACCAAGGGTGATTCCCATGTGTCTTGGTTGGGATCTTTGGCAGATGGTGAGGTGCTTGAGAAGGGGAACACAGCATGGTAGCCAGTTTGAGGAGGGAAAATGGGCTCAGTCTCAGAGAAGTAGAGCTGGGGGTCCTGGGGTACAGCCAGGAGGAGGTTGGCAGACAGCTGGATGCCAGAGCTGGGACTCAGGAAGAAATCTGATTGGAGGGACCAACCTGGGGACAGAGGTTAATAGGACTCCAGGAAGGAGCAAGACCGCCAGGCAGAGAGTGTAGAGGGAAGATGGGAGGTGGAGAGTGTAGAGGGAAGACAGGAGAGGGCTCACAGCAGAATCGTAAGTCCTGGAGACATGTGAGGGGCTGACGGAGGTGTGGGTGGGTTACAAAGGAGAGAGGAAAAGGAAGGACCTGAGCAATGAGACAAATAACTAGGAGAGGAGGTTGCCATAGCAACCAAAGTAAGGAAGAGTTTCAGGGAGAAAGTAATCGCCACAGCTCGATGCCCCGAATCTCAGAAAAATAAGAAGCACAAAGTCCTTTGAATCCAGCAATCAGGGGGCTCCTATGAACCTTGGCAGGAACTGTTTTGGGGGCAAAGGGGCAAAAGCTAGCTTCCCCAGGGTCAGTGGACTGAATAGGTGGAGGAGTAGCAGAACCTTCCTTAGAGAAGGTTGGATGACTAGGGAAGGAGTTGAATGGTAGCAAGAAAAATGTGGGCAATCAAAGGAGGGTTTCTGAAAACAGGAGAAACCCTAGAATTTCCTGGTCTTGAAAGAGGGCACCCCCAGAAAGGGAGAGGATGAAAAGAAGAAAGACTTGTAAGTGAGCTGGGATCTATCCTCTGAGCCCGGCTGAAAGGAAACAAGTGGGTCTGATTGGGGATGTCTCAAGGGAGGAGGGCAAGGCATGGAAAAGACCCTCGTGGTACACTTTCTGATCCTGAAAATGTTGGAGTTAAAATTATCAAATTCTGCAGGGTGGTTATGAAAGGAAAAGGGTGCACTGAAATGAGTAGCTAGGAGGTCATTTGGTGACTGGTCTGGATAGTCTTCGATGTCCCCTCCAGAGCCATTCTCTATACTCCATCCTGTCCTGTGCCTGGGAGGCCAACCTTCACACTACCCAGACTCCATGCCTTCTGGCTTCTATAGAGGGTCCCTGACTTATGATGGTTCAACTTATAAGTTTTCAACTTTATAATGGGTGTATTGGGGGTATTAAAGCATTTAATGGGCCTGGTATGGTAGCTCAAGACTGTAAGTAATCCCAGCACTCTGGGAGGCTGAGGCAGACGGATCACTTGAGGCCAGGAGTTTAAGACCAGCCTGGCCAACATGGCGAAACCCCATCTCTACTGAAAATACAAAAATTAGCCTGGCTGGAGGCGCATGCCTGTAGTCTCAGCTACTTGGGAGATTGAGGCACTAGAATCGCTTGAACGTGGGAGATGGAGGTTGCATTAAGCCAAGATCACACCATTGCACTCCAGCCTGGGTGATAATGTGAGACTCTGTCTCAAAAAAAAAAAAAATTAAACAAAATAAAAGCGTTTAATGACATGATATTTTTGACTTATAGTGGGTTAATTTGGATGTAGTCTCATCGTAAGTCAAGAAGCATCTGTATGGAGGAACCAAGGAGAGGTTGGAGGGAGAGAAGAGAGTGAGCTTCTCTGGCTGCCTTCCTTTGGCTGTGGGTTGGCAGTGTCTGCAATCCTTTTTGTATTGCCACAGGTGGGGTCTCTTTCTGAAAGCGGCAGCTTTCTCTCCAGGTTCCAAAAGCCCACATTCTTTTCTCATCCCTTCAAACCTAGAAGTGTGATAGCTTCCAGCTGTTGCTCATCCCTGGGTGCTTGATCAACCCTGGGGCCTGCTACACTCTGTGAATTGTCCTTTCATTAAATTAGCCTCACTTTAATCCTTTGGAATGCATTATCTCTCTCCCCTATCAGGTCCCTGACTGAGTAAGTGAACTTGTATAAGTTCTCTGGCCATCACAGTGGGAGGGTACACAATGGTGAGCAAAAACAGCCGTAGGTCTTACCTGTGTAGAGCTGCCACATCAGTGGGGGAGCCAAATGTTAATCAAGCTAGTAAAGAGAACAGGCACCATGGCTCATGCCTGTAATCCCAGCACTTTGGGAGGCTGAAGTAGAAGGAACACTTGAGGCTAGGAGTTCCAGACCAGCCTGGCCGCATAGTGAGACCTTGTCTCTACTAAAAATAAAAAAAATTAGCTGAGTGTGGTGGCACACACCTGTAGTTCCAGCTACTTGGGAGGCTGAGGTGGGAGGATCACTTAAGCCTGGGAGATGAGGCTGTAGTGAGCGCTGACTGTGCTACTGCACTCTAGCCTGGGTGACAGAGCAAGACTCTGTCTCAAAAAAAATTATTTTAAAAAAGTAAAGAAGTCCATAATTTTAAACGGTGATAGGTGGCATGGAGAAACCCTGCTAGATCAGAGAAGTAACATTCAACCAGGGGCTTGGAGGTTAACGAGGACGAGAAGAACACGTGAGGAAACAGCAGGGCTGAAGCTCCATGGAAGGAGGATGGCACGTTCCAGAAGCCAGAAGACCATTAAGTCTGAGGCACTTATCAGCAAGAATGATTTTGACACAAGTGGCAGAAAACCTAACTCAAAAATGTTTAAACAATAGGGGATTTATTGTGACATATAATGAGAAGTCCCAAGGGAGACAAATGTAATGTCATTAACGACCCAGGTTCTGTCCATCCTTCAGTTCTCCCAAGCTCAGCATATGGGCTCCTGTCCCCACGGTCACAGGATGGCTGTAGTCACTCCAGGCATTGTGTCCACCGTGCCAATGACCAGAAACGAAAGAAACGGGCAGATCACGGGGTCAGGAGATTGAGACCACCCTGGCTAACACGGTGAAACCCCCTCTCTACTAAAAATACAAAAAATTAGCTGGGCGTGGTGGTATGCGCCTGTAGTCCCAGCTACTTGGGAGGCTGAGGCAGGAGAATCACTTGAACCTGGGAGGCAGGGAGGGTCACCTGCAGTGAGACTAGGACACACCAATGACCTCCAGCCTGGAACCCGAGTTAGAATATTTTATAAAAGAAAAAAAGAAAAGAATTTGCTTATGGCTGGAGGACAGTGAGTTGGAGCACCCAAGGGGGATGGAAGAGACAGATAGGGCAGAGCAGGTGAGCCTTGCAGGCCTTGAGAAAGAGACCAGAGTTGGTGCTAAGGCCCATGGAAGGTCACTGAAGGCTGGTGATATGAAGGAAAATGACATGATCCTATTTACATCTTAAGAAGTCTGCTCTTCGGGGTGTTAAGTGGATGGGCAAGTCGGAAGGAGAGAAAGTTGTGAGGCCATCACAGTAAGAGGATGAGAGATGGGAGGTGGCTGGAACCAGGATGGGGCAGTAGGGTGGAGAGAAGGCCATCTTGGGCATGATTCCCTGAAGACAGAACTGCCAGGATTTGCTGTGAT